TGTTATTTTGAGGAATTTTTGATAGAATTTTATTTTAGCATAGTTTTTGCAACAGTCCTCACTCTATTTGCTCATTTTGCAATCGATTCTATATTATTTTACAAATCAAAACATCGAATTCCATAAGTTGACATTTTTTTTTGCTTATATAACATTGCTCTAGGCAAAACACACATGTACCGGTGTACCTATCGGGTCTTTTACAAGAAATTCAATAACTCAACCATTTTGTAAGCTATCGAAGTCAACAACATCTCAATCGACTAGCGACTCTCTGAGGTACATTTCATCTAGCAAGTAATTTCCTCTCAGATCTTATCTTCATGGAGATAATTCCTGATTTTCAGGTCCACCGCTGTTTTTCATGCAAAATCATAGAAAAACGTAAATTGATGACAATTCAACTATAGTACATCCAATCAAGGTCATTCTTGTTTCTATCGACTAGCGACAGACTGCGCAACATTTTATCTAGCAATTATTTCTTTCTAGAACAGCGTCTTCATAGAGGAAAACTAGGATTTCTAGGTACACCGGAGGGTTTTTTCAAGAAAAAATCAATTTTTTTTGCTAAATTTTCAAGATTTGCAATCAAATAGATTAAAAATAAGAACGGGAAGCGAGGGCGGCCGAAGGCCGTCCCGAGCCAACCAGTTAGAATAATTTTTTTTTTTCAGATTTTTATGCACAGAATAGCCTTTTCACCCTTCAACTACACCCACAACTAGTCATATTACACCCAAGAATATAGTTTTCTATAATATACTCATCAGACTTCTATCTAGATTGACGAATTTAACTCCCTTCACAAGCACCCACACTATGAGATGTGCCTATTGTGAATTTGTTAATTTGTTTGAGAGATTGAAAGATTAATAGGTAAATAGATACATAGATCAGAATTCATAGAATTTTTCAAGATTTTCTTCTTTTAGATAGAACGGGTTTTGTTTATTTTTGAAGAAAAACAAGTGCTCAAAAATTAAATTACATCCACATCTAGTGAGATTACACCCAGACCTAGTGAGATTTCACCCATAGATGATAAAAATAGACCAAAATTTCGAAGTTTTCAAACCTATAATCTAAAGAAGGAACAATTATTCAAGCAGAATTTAACATCTTACAACAAAGAGAAATTTTCTTCTATCGAATATTCAACCGGGACTTCTTTTTTTTTGAAAGTACTCGATGACCTTTCGCCATTTTAATAGCTGGGATGCTCGTTTTGGTTTCATTCGATAGAGGATGAAAAACTAGGAGGTTTAGCAAGCGGAAAGTTTTTGATAGATGTCTTCTGTTAGCCAGTGGAGTGGTTTTTCTTTTCAATTTTTTCGGACGCTTGTTTGAGTTGTCACGTGTTAGAAGAAAATTTTTTTTCTCATTGTTTCTGGAGGGTGTTTTGTCGCATTTGTCATGTTTAGATTGGTTTTATATTAGTTTGATGAGCGTCGGTTATGTCTTGTTTTTGTACACGTGACCATATGTTGTATAGCCATCTGGTTTTTCGGTTTATTTTGCTTTGATTTTCTTTCAATACTGAGAGTTAATGTTTTATTCAGTTTCAAATGCGAGGATATTCTATCAGATTGAGTTGTGTGTGGTTCTCATTGATGTATTGGAACTGGTTCTTGTTTTTTTCCAGTTTCTGTTTTGAATGACTTGGCGTCCAAGGAGCAATACAGTATTTTTAGTTGATGTTTCATGTAGTGAAAGTTACTTTTTCTTTTTAATTCTTTAGCTATGAGTAGCATCTCAGGTTATTATATAGGATCCGGTTGTATAAGTGGTTTGTATCTGATTGAACGGTTGTTAAATTTTTTGAATTGATTTTCTCAAAGATTCTGATTTCTCGTTGCAGCATTGTTTTGTTTGATTTTACATCTAATACTGATCACGATTCTGTTCGATGTAAGGTGATTTTTAGATTGAGTTTATATTTCAGATTTGTTTTTATTGAAACACGTAATAGAAATTCCGCTATAGCGTTATCGTGTATTGTTGTTTATTAATGGATACCGTCAAATTATTTGATTTTCAATATTGATATATTGAAAGATACATAGATATCAGAAATCTCTTTCTTTGTAGTGAAGGGAACTTATATGAGGGTGTGATAGTATACTTCAATTAAATATTTCTTTTTCTTGCTTGTACAATTGGTCAGAATGGATGAACGTTGATTCTCTTATACCAGAAACTGATACTAGATGTATATTTTACTGGTCTTATTTTGAAAGATATTGAATTTTGGGGACATGTATTAGTTAAGACTGAGGTTATTGATCATAAAACAAATGTTCGATAATTTTTCTTGTTTGATTGAGAACATGCACTTTTACTCTTGAAGAATTACCGGAATAATTCATTGAGTAAAATGGATCGATTCATAGAAGAATATAGTATACAGACGTTAAGGTATTAAATCTAGATCAAGTGGAAGCGAATCTTAATCTTTTATTGAAGATAGCCCATCAAATTGGTATTCATTTAAATTAAGAAGCTTTCGATTGACTATATATTTAGTACATTCGAAGTATTTTGATTACTATTCTCACCTATGTTTAAGATTTATGATCTCTACTGTGGATTTGTTTTGTTTGTATATGATTTTTAATATAATAAGAAATGAATTATTAAATCGCATATCTAAAAGAATTTGTTATATTTACTATACCTATTAATTCATGATTCGATATTAATAGTGATAATGGTGATATTGAAGTAAAATAATATTCTGTAAACAAGTATTATTGTACTTCGAACTATTTAATAGACAAAGTTACTTTTGTGTACTCATTTATATATTGGTGAAAGAAAAAGTCGTTTTCGACAGAAAGCTCCGATGCTATTCTATTTGAAAAAGTTGAATATAAGCCATTAACAAATCTTGAAATTAAGTTAACGTCTAGAGGTTATGAAAGATCAACTCCTAAGAATGATCAATGCCATTTAATTCATGGTGAAAATATTTAAATATTCAGTTCTTATTGAAATCATGTGTTTCTATATCTTTTTTTCTATGACTTTATATTCTACATTGATTTTGATAGTTTTCGATTTATACACTAAACGATTGTAGATAAACCTAACACTAATTCTTGTAACGTGAAAATTTGCAATACAAGTGTTTTAATCTAAAACATTTTGAATAATGAACGTTTCTAAATCCACTTTCTAGTAGAATAGTGTAAATTATCTCGACTTCATTTGAATTTTCTTAAAACTTTATTTCTTTCAATTTTGAAATTTTTGTTCTTAGTTATTACGTTTAAGTTTTAACTTCTTCGAATTTTATTTGAATTAGTTTCTACTTTATGTAATTATATTAGGCTACCAAAGATACCTGATGAGTCCCTTCAGAAAGGACGAAACGCGTCGTGTCGATCTCGGTTTTTTGAAAACTTTAATTTCAACTATATATTTACGATTTTTTGTTTTGTTTTTGAGTCACCCTTTTTGCGATGTTCTTTCATCGGCTTTAAAAAGATTGAGTAAGATGTCGTCATTAATACATCAACCCACATAAAAAATGATAACAACGCACAAAAAATGGTTACAACGCACAAAGAAAAAGAAAAAAAATGTTAGAAAAGAATAAAAATGTTAGAATAGAAAAAAAATGTTAGAAAAGAATAAAAATGTTAGAATAGAAAAAAAATGTTAGAAAAGAATAAAAATGTTAGAATAGAAAAAAAATGTTAGAAAAGAATAAAAAAATGTTAGAATAGAAAAAAAATGTTAGAAAAGAATAAAAATGTTAGAATAGAAAAAAAATGTTAGAAAAGAATAAAAATGTTAGAATAGAAAAAAAATGTTAGAAAAGAATAAAAATGTTAGAATAGAAAATAAAAGTAATGACAAACTCAGTATGCAAATATAATTTTGTTGGTAGGCGGCTCACTTCAGGTATGTTGTTTTTCTCTTTTCTTTTTAAATTTCATACAGATTTTAAAAGCACTTTTTCCACAATGTTTTGTGCGATTTATGCTATAATAAATACCATAGCAACGATCTGAAGGAAGAATGACTGAAAAAATAATTAGATTACGAGGACTAAATAAAATGCGAGAAAAGTTTATAACAGTGAATATTTTACAATTGTTGCCATTAATTGCTTTGAGTGTAAATGTATAAAAATGGAGAAGTAGGTATGTAACAGATTGATATTTATTGATATACTCGTGTCATACTAGTTACTGCGTTAATAGAATTGATCCGTGTTTTAAAATAGGTCTTATGAATGTATCAAGAAAATTAATTTTAGGAGAAATCTGCACATACACTTCTTTTTATATTAATCGAGTCCTTATACAAGCCGTGCTTACCAAAAATATTTTTACTTGTGTTCGATGTCACTCAATAGACTTATATTTACATTGGTATAAGAGAACTTTTGCCAAACTAAAACAAGCGTAGAGTCGAGTTTTGTATTTATGTGCCTACTATTTTGTGTCTTTTTCTTTCAAGTTACATCTCATGTCGAAGAACGCGGGACATTGAATGAAAATAATCTTCAAGCTTGCTCAGACTTTGGATTCTGTTATCGAAAAAGTTTGTTCTTTTCCGAAAAATGGTCATATCTTCTTGACCATTTTTCCAATCATATTGATTTTCCAATATACTAGTAGATTGGAGAAATGTTTTTACATAATGAGTTTTCCAGAGAAGCAAATGTTCTACAATTTTTTTTAAGTCGATTCCGTATCAGTCAATGACAATAAGAACATATGTATGAAGGTTACAAACCTGTCATTATACTCAACGTCTTGAGAAGGTATTAATGGTCGTTTCTATTGAAGAGAGATTCAAGAGAGAAATACGTGGAGAAAATAGTTTTCTTTTTGGCCACTGTTTCATTAAGAAGACAGTGTCAACGCCTAAATATACTGATATTTGTTTTTTGTTTTCTTTTTGTAGCAGTCGATTAGTTTCGAACATAATCAAAATTATATTGGGATTAAAATTTTGTTCGATTGAATCGGTGGACGAAACCAGTTATGGCAAATCATCAACAACCCAATAATATCACATTAAGACGATGTGTTTGTATTGAGACGATGACGGTGCGTAAAGATCAAATAGAAGGAATGTATGAAATGTATAGAAGGGTTCAGGCCGTCAATAAACTACGACACAACGATCTTCTGATACGCCTTCAAAATACACAAGACGATCCATGCATGGCGACCAGACAGTTATCAGAGATTATACTTCTCAAAGATGAAGAAATCGACGAAATGAGAGAAGATTGTGTTCTTCCTTTAGTCACCAAATGCGTCGAATTCTATGGAACAAACATTATCGTTCCTAGGCTCAAGGAAATGTACCCTCAAAATGATTCTATTCAAAACTTCAGAGGATGGGCACACTGTTGTGCATATGCGTATGGAAATAATGATGAACAGTGGCTGCAAGATGACATCAATCAAATTATAAACCAAAATCCACATATAAGCGGTGTTTGGGATACACTTATATACATACGCAGACGGCGCAGTGATGCTGTTCATGGACCAATAACTAAAGACGATATTGAATCGCTGAATGATAGTGTTCAGTATTTTCAGAGACATCAAACGGCATATACCACAAATTATATACAAGCCGTTCAAGTGCTAGCTGATGTTCTTCAAACGATGCCTCCTCGTTTATTTGCTGTACCTGGTCAATATGACCTTGCCAATCTTTTACGATAAGAATTTTTATGCTAGTATCTTTTAGTTTAGTTGCCTTCAGGATATCAGAAGCTGGTTTAAATGAATCATGATGTTTTTTTTAAACTTTCAGATAAATACTTAGTGATTACTATATTCACCATGCCAGCCAGTTTTTGTGGAAAGCGATCATCTCATCCCACCTACAGCCCACCTACCAAACGTTGCCGTCTTACCACACCATGTGTTCGGCCTTACATTCGAACAACTGTACACAATGAAGATCCTTATGCTACAGCTAACCTAGCTAACACTCTCAAACAGCTTCAAAAGGAGGCATCTGTTCGACAACAGCGACGTGAACAAAGCGATTGTGTTAGGCGAGCCTCTATTCTGTTTGATGTCTTCGGTTATGTAGTGCTGCTTCCTCGCTTGCAAAAAAAATACGAAGGAGCGCTTACTATTAATGATTGGCATGATGATGTTCGTGCTCTTCTCGAGCGTGATTTTGAACAACGACCGCTGAGCAAAGAGCAGCAGGTGCTTGTTCAACATGTGGAAAAATTGGCTACGTGTAGAGATTTGTTCACTTACGAGCAATGGAAATGCCTCCTCACCCTTAATCTGATGGCAGGAGCAAGTGAAAAAGGAGACAAAATGAAAATAATTCATCGTTGTGAAGTTGAGAAAGTCAAAGAACTAGCAACCCGCGTTCTTGAGGGAGCCAAACAGTCAACTGTCCTTCGACTTGTGAGTTTACTTGAGGACTCCAACTAGGCGGGACACTTTCTTATTATTATCCTTTAAACCGTATCAAAAAGACCTACAAAAGAGCACAACTCGTGTTGTTATAGTTAGAGAGCAATTTTCGAAAATATCTTGTTTTTTATCCTTTCTTTATTTTATTTCATTTCTTCTTGTATATTAGTACAGGCTTCGTTCATCGGAAACAATATTTTTGTGTATATATAGAAATATACATGTGAATTGTCTTCTTCGTCTGAATATCTCCCGTCTGTCTCTTGTATTTCCTTTTGGTTTATTTTTCTTTCTTTATCATTCTCTTGTTGTGTTATATATCATCGAATATATAAAGAGGAAAAGATTCGAATGAAACAAGTTCATCTTCAACTACAACAATCTTTTGTTATTTTAACGGTAACTTAAGAAAAATACGGTCTCTTTCCATCTCACTCAAAGATTTCATTCGTAGACTTCTGCTAACACGAAACGTAACCCAAAACGTTTTCATTTTGAAATTAACAAATTTTGAATATTGCATTGAGTTTGATTTTGCTGATTATTCGTCTTTTTTACCGATACTAGCTCCCTATTGTCATAGACAAGAATTATTTTGCAAATATATAAGCGTCCTATACTTATCTAGTAACATTTTAGATTAAAAAAAAAACCTGGAAATGATCCCTTACGCAAGGTTCGAAACGCGCCATCTGATAATTTCAGACTCATATACCATTCACTTTTCTATACTGTTTTATATTTTATAATACTTTAAGTACTTAAAATTTATTTGAATGAGTTCTAATTTCATATAATATTTATTCAATAACAAGATTAGAGCCCTGCGGGAACGACTTTTTCCGAAATTCCAGTGGCGACTTCGGGGATGGGAACACGGGGATGGGAGCAACTTTAAAAATTGGTATTCGCGTAATATTATATCGACTAGATTCATCGAAAAAAATATGTTTATTGAAAATGAGAAGCCTCAGTTTTATGGTCAAGCCAAGGAGCCTCCAAAGCCAAAATTTCTTCTACGTTTAACGAAGAACATATTGTGAAACATGTGATGACCCGATAAACTAGTGTGCGACATAAAAATTGTTCGTTTTACTCTCACAAAGTGAACTGGTAATAGAAAGTATCAAAGCACTACGGGAACAAGAACACCGGAACAAGAACAAAATAATTTTTCGGGAACGGGAATGCGGGAACCGGAAGAGTTATTTTTTCAGCAGGGAAAGGATACGGGAAACGACAACAATAAACGTCGTTCCCACAGGACTCTAAACAAGATTCTCAAAAATCTCTTAAGCAAAGTCGAAATGTGAATATTAGCTAGCTTGACTCACCACTGATTAAAAGATACCTGTCGTTTGGGAAACAGCTTCTTATATGACTGTTTCTAGATTCTGTATAGATTATGATAGTCGATCTATGCTCTTTGTGACCATTTAGGATGAGTATTGAAGAGTATAAATAAACTGATGAGACTTCTAAGCAAAGCCGAAACCCGTCGTGGTAGCTTCTTCTACACACCCTTATTTCATTTTAAATGGAATAGGTATTTATATTATCATTCTTTTTTCCTTTGGAAATAAGAACAGAATAATATTCTCGAATAGATTTGAATTTTTGTTCTTAGTTATTACGTTTAAGTTTTAACTTCTTCGAATTTTATTTGAATGAGTTTCTACTTTATGTAATTATAATAGGCTACCAAAGATACCTGATGAGTCCCTTAAGAAAGGACGAAACGCGTCGTGTCGATCTTGATTTTCTTAAAAACTTAAATTTATAATAATTTTGTTTTTATTTTATTACGTTTAAGTTTTAACTTCTTCAATTTTCTTTGAAATTTGGATGAGTTATTTCTTTATGTAATATTTATAGGCTATCAAAGATACCTGATGAGTCCCTTAAGAAAGGACGAAACGCGTCGTGTCGATCTTGATTTTCTTAAAAACTTGAATTGATTTTTCTTTTAAAATCATTAAATTTATTTACCATCTGATGATTCCTTTTGCAAGGATGAAATCTATAGATTATGGTAGCTAGTCACACTACTATGAATTGAATTTATCATCATATATTCAAGATTTATTCTTATATATGATAGTTTATAAATAAATTTTTTGATTTTTCTTTTTAAATCATTAAAATTATTTGCCATCTGATGATTTGGGTTGTTCCAATGAAATCTATAGATTATGGTGGCTAGTCACACCCTCACACCACACCCACACCCACACCTGTGAACCTTTAGAACAATCAGATTCGTTCAACTTGGTTCAGGATAGTTCAAAAAAGCAAAAAAAATTCAATGTTCTTATCTGAGTTATCTGTAGAATTATTCGTATGGGGTAGTCGTCTGAACTTCATGCAACTGCTACAATGCAATACTCTACTGAAAATGAATGATTTCGACATCTCTAACTAATAATGTACGATGCGTCATTACTACAAACTCATTCAATACCTTCTACTGGGAAAAAATGCACGAATGACAGAACGCAACCGTTTGAAAGCAAATATATAGCTACTCTTAAACTCATTTTACTCAATGTCAATAAATAAGAAAAAAAACTCGAAAGTAAAATATTGCAAAAGTTTTTTTATTTCTTTTCTGTTGTCATCGCTTTTGCTTTTGCTTTTTCTTGTTTTTTGCCTCCACTAATAAAGAACGACTGAAACTAGTCGAAGAAATTTTACAATAGTTTCTCCAATCGACCCGGATGCTAGAAAATTGCTCGGCATCTTAGATAAATAAGAAACAAAATACGCTCACGAAGACGACATCGTAAAAAAAGCAAGGAAGAAAAAGAAATACATCTCTCCTTCTCAGTTGTTTTTCTCGTTATGAACTTGCTATTGCTCGTTAACGCTGACAGCACAATACACAAAGAAACTATTTAATTCTAACCTAAAGTAAAAGCTAAGAATATCTCACTTTAAATACGTGCTTTTCATAGTACACCATGTCGGCATTCAGCACTAGTTACAAGAAAATCCTGTACTATTGAACTATACATTTTGTATTTCATTTTGGTTAACAGTCTATACTGCAAGAAACCCTAGTCTCGGATTAGGAACTTTCAAAAATTATCACAATTTGTACAGGACTTATACGAAAATCGTACATGTATCTTCCATTGAGTCAAATGCAACGTTACCTGTGCATGCTGTATAGTGTACTCGTACAGAAATCCTGAAAAAGTTTTTCTATGAGTTTCTTCATTCAAAGACTGAACGTCTCATTCTTATATCTTCATGGAACAAAACGAACAAGTCTGGCAATCATAATCCTATTTTGAGAAAAATATAGACAATAATAAGTATGCTTTAATCTGTTAGTCCATATCTTACAATTTTCAGTTCGACATAACACAGTTTTGTAATAAGATCATTCTGCTGCTGTCAGTGATTACTAGGACCATGATAGTTCGGGAACAGTCTAGCTCAAGAAAACTGTTCAGACAGCTATGTCGAACTGAACAGAGCTTTTCGAACAGTTTCTCGGTTCATTTGAAAACAGTTCGTGAGCTACATTTGTCATAGACATAGTGATAACATTTATGATGACAGTAATAATATTTCAGCCAGTACAACCAAAGAAGTAATCGTTAAGCTCAACATTACGTAACATCCAACATTAAAAAAATGGTCATGTAATTAACAGTGTCTAAAAATAATTTGCTAACCAATATGAAAGTTTTTGTTTCTAATTCAACACTTCTATTATTGTTCGGATGTAACCTGGACTTTCCATTGAACCAGTTTCAGCTATTACAATATGTCCAAAAATTTGCTTTCATACAACAGTACAGTTAGATATTTCAATTCATAAAATCAAAATAACTTAACAATTCAAAAAAATTATCGTTGTTATTCATCTCATTCTTATATGATATATCACAAAAAACAAATCTTACATGAAATGTCATTAAAAACCGATACAGTCATAATATTCTTATACTCGCCATGAATTCATGAACATAGAATGAAACACTTCGGACTTCATTTTAAAACTATATCTCTTACTCATACTTGAAACTAATATTATCATTCCTAACGACAGTTATTTTAAATATTTTTGAACTATCAATATGAAAAGTATCTAACCAATAATCAGCACGAAATTGAAACAAATAGATTAAAAAAATATATCAGATCAATGGTTAGCATGCAGCACAGCTTGAAATTTATTCGGCTTAAAACATTGACCGCTCTTTTATACTCTAAACAAACCATGATCGCATCATAACGAATTTTCAAAAAAAAACACAAATGAAACAGTGATTATTTGTTATATTCATTTACACAACAGTTATAGATATATAGATAAACCTTTCCACTTATTCCAAAACCAGATACCGTGAATTTTTTTTGAATTCTAGAAATGCCGACATGAACTTTGAACATGATTCAAATGTTTAAAAATTTTATGATTTACTATTTGGCATTCAAGCCTTTATAGAATGTTTGGTTTTCACAAACTTCCGAATTTAAATTTATTCTTAAAGAAAAATTGTACATTGAAAACAGCTGGTGATTATAAAATATATAGAGAAAATTGATTGAATTAAGAAAGCGTACTTACAGCATCTCAGATGAAATTCTATCACTTATTTTCTAGTTTTCAGTATACAGATTTGAATTATCAGAAAACAAATACGATAGTTCCAATGAAATCTATAGATCATGGTAGCCAGTCACACTACTATGAAACGTTTTTATCATTATATATTTAAGATTTTTTCTTGTATATGATAGTTTATAAATTAATCTTTTGATTTTTGATTTTTTTATCTTAAATCATTAAATTTATTTACCATCTGATGATTCCTTTTGCAAGGATGAAATCCATAGATTATGGTAGCTAGTCACACTACTATGATATGAATTCTTCAACATATATCTATTTATTTATTTATATGTCAGAATTTGAATTAATTTTTTGATTTTTCTTTTTAAATCATTAAAATTATTTGCCATCTGATGATTTGGGTTGTTCCAATGAAATCTATAGATTATGG